AAGGCTTTCGCAGCTTGTCCATTAGCTTGGAGAGGGAAATGTCGTTGACTACCCTCCTTGGTGAGTTCCGTGAGTGGCTTAGCGATATATGAGAACCCTTTAATAAACCGGCGATAGAAGTTGCAGAAGCCGAGGAAAGACTGCATGTCCTTCACTGATCTCGGCAGTTGCCAATCGAGGACAGTGGAGACCTTCTCCGGATCCATTTCGATGCCGTCGGTGGTGAGGATCAAGCCTAAGTACTTGACTCGCTTGGTTTCGAACTTGCACTTCGTGGGATCCAACGATAGTCCTGCGCCTTGAATCTTGCGGAGAACCTTTAGGACATGCGAACGGTGGTCTTTCTCGTTGTCGCTATATATAAGTATGTCGTCTAGGTAGGCGGTACATATAACGTCCAAGTATTCGCGCAGCGTTTCGTTGATGAAGTTTTGGAACGTCCCTGGTGCATTGCACAGTCCAAAGGGCATGACCATATACTCATAGAGTCCGTACCGGGTGAGGAAGGCGGTTTTCTCTTCGTCACCTTCTTTAATCCGAACGGTGTTGAAAGCGGCTACAACATCGACGAGAGACATAATCTGAACTTTGGCCATGCGCGCTAGAGTTTCTTTGATGGCTGGTGGCGCATTTCGATTCTTCTTAGTGACGTTGTTGAGTGCTCGGTAGTCGACACATATGCGGAGACCTCCTCCAGGTTTCTTGACGATCAAGACAGGTGACGCAAACGGGGAGTTACTGGCCTTGATTAAGCCCTTTTGCAGCATGTCATCGATATACTTCTTAACAGCCTCAGTCTCGGTACGAGTGAGTCCGTAGACATGAGGCTTAGGGGGCGTAGTGTCAGGAAGCAGGTCGATGGGGTGGTCGACTCCTGGTCTTCGTTCGGGGAGTTGATGAGCCAGATGAGGGTTGAACAGATCAGGTAGTTCGTCCAACACCCACTCAGGTACCAGCTGGCCAATCTGGTCTCTAGTCATGTAAGGTTGCTCCATCTTGTGCATGTACTTCTCAAAGTCAGTTTGCGAGACTGCGGCTACGCCGATGCCTTCTCGGTCTTCATCGGGGGGCTTCGCAAGCTTGGCCCAATGGCGGGGTTCCAACCATATGACCTGGTCAGGATGTTTGGCTGCGAGTGCGGTTGCAGCGGCAGCGGAGATGAGGTAGATATCAGCCATAGTCTCCTCAGTCGTCACCTTACCATCCTTGTTCGTCTTAGTAGTGGTGTCGCCTGTCTGGTAGTCTCCCTTGACTAGTTGTACGTGACTGTGACAAACTCCGTTTTCGTAAACCGTCTCTGGGAGTCCTTCGTGGAGGCAGTTAAGTTTGCACCCTGCCTTAGCGAAGGTGAGTGATCGCTGGTCGCCAAAGTGGAGGGCAGGCTGGTGATAGTCCATCCAATTCATGCCTAGGATAACGTCGTACTTGCCGATATTGGTGACGTAGCATAGGACGTTGTGCGTATGGCTTCCGTGTCGGACGGGCAGATCAACGGCCTGGGTAAGCTTGTCCACTTCTCCGCCGTTGGCTAGTGACAATCGAATGGGTTTGGCCACAGGCATAGTATCTAGGCGGTGTTGGTTAACCCATGACTGATTGACGAAGCATGCGCTGGCTCCCGTGTCGATAAGGGTAGAAATCGGTTGCCAACAATCAGGTCGCGTGAGAGCGGAGCCGGGAAACTCGAGTTGTCGGCTGAAGTCTTTAGAAGGCTTGCCTCCGATGGAGGCGGAGGACACGAAGTGGACCTCCGTCATAGTTGGCGTTTCGTCAGGGGCGAGCAGCAAGGCTGCAGCGATCTCGAAACGGCGATGCTGGTTTCGAACACGGCGCTGGTGTCTTTTTGCGTTACGCCAATTGAGCTCCCGCACGCGGCTCTGCGCGGGAGCCCCTAATTTAAATGCTCAAGTAGTTCCTCGTCGTTGACGTAGAAGCCATCGTCATCCACTAAGTCGTTGTCGTCCAGCGGCTCCTCAGTATCC